TTGGAAAAGTTGCGTTTTCACTTTTGGGCAGTCGGCCTCTCGCATAGTCGGACGGGATACCTGTGGTCGGTGGCATTGCGGGAGGCCGTCACAAATTTTTTATAATTTTTTTTTTGTTTTTCCCGAGGGCTGTGAGGGCCGTGTTGGTTCGCCGGCGACCGGTAGTGCGTTTGGTTGGTCGTCCGCGCACCGGCCGACGGACGGTTGCCATCGCCAGCGTTGCATCCCGTCGTCGCGCGCGCTCTCGCGCGTCTGCGTGTGTGTGTGTGTGTGTGTGTGTGTGTGTGTGTGTGTGTGTGTGTGTGTGTAGAGGCCAAGGTGTGTGTCTGAGGGCCAATCGCCGGTTCGGATGACATCATGTCTTCCCGGCGATTGGCTATCATGCGTGCATGCCACGAAGTTCACACATGCGTGTGTGTGTGTGTGTGTGTGTAGAGGCCAATGTGTGTGTGTGAGGGTCAATCGCCGGTTCGGATGACATCATGTCTTCCCGGCGATTGGCCATCATGCGTGCATGCCACGAAGTTCACACATGTGTCACCTCACGTCACTCTCTCTCTCTCTCTCTCTCTCTCTCTCTCTCTCTCTCTCTCTCTCTCTCTCTCTCTCTCTCTCTCTCTCTCTCGGCTTGTATATTAGAGTGCTGTCGCTGTCATAGATGTCAACTTCAACATCGAAACGACAGCTTCGAGGTTGCAGCTGACATCCATCGCAGCGACGACCAGTTAGTGTCCTCTCCGGCGTCTCTCTCTGAAAAGACCCGTCCGCCATCTCACTGGCACTGTGTCTGTTGGTTGTTATAATTTTTTTTTATTTTTTTTTTTGTATTTTTGCCATTTGGAAATGAAACCCCCGATTGACAACCCCTCTCTCCCGGCGCGACACCGTTGTATTATTTTTATTTAGTGTTTTTTCGATTTTTTTCTTTGTTCTTCTGTACATGGCCATTACCGTTTCGTGTACGTACGCGTTTGTCCGTATGCAGAGTGTGTGGCTGTTTGTTGTTTTTTCCCCCGTTTTCACTCACCCCTTCCGGCTTCCTGCTTATGCAAACGTGGCCGTTCGCGGAAACAGCACCTGTCAGTGTCATTTTAAATTTTTTTTTTTTTGTTGTTGTTTTCGTTCCCTTTTGTGTTTTCGTTTTCCCATTTTTTTTTATTTTTTTTTTTGTTACCTCCATCACACGCCAACAACCCGCCCACCCCCCACCCCCCACCCCACCCCCACCCACCAACCCCCCAAAAACCCTCTGCATGGATATGTCGCCTGTCAATGTCAAACGATTGACAATGGTGGTTCCCGTTGTGAAAGGTTTTTTTTTTTTTGGCGTCGAATTTTTTTTTGTTTTTGTTTTTTTTTGGGCCCCGTCCGACTCGGACAATGACGGTTTCACACTTACGGAGGAGGATAAGAACTTTCATGCCCAAACCCACCCCGAATGAAACCCCAAACACCTAAGCCAACCCCTCGACACCCGTCGACCCTT